GTCTACTATAAAGGAAGACTGAATGAAAAAATGGAATCTTATACAAAACCAACTATAACTTCAATAAATTTTTAAAGAACCACCAATCATTTCCTTACCAAGAAGGAAAATCGTTAAAGGACATGCTCGTTAGAGCCGAAAAAAAAGGGTTAATAGAGGGTTCCACGCCCGTATAGATGTGCGGCCTGTCAACATTTGTATTTTCTCGCACAACAGGTTTGTGAGTATTTTAGCAATAATTCCAGCTGGCTGTGTTTTATATAACAAGTGTAGTCAACTGTCTCGTTAGTAGTTAGTAAAAAATAGGATGACCCACCCCTTCAGGGTAGCTGAAAATTGCACGACCCACCCCTTTCACAAGGCTCAAAACCTCATGACCCACCCCCTCTCTGCTCCGGCCCATCCCCGCCTATACTTTTTGACCAGTCCCTTAGCTCTATACAAGAGAGGAGGAGCGATTCTTTTTTAATTTCCGTTTCGCTGACACAGCTTTAGCAGAAATCTCTCCTTAGTCGTTTTCGTCGACAAAACGAATAGCAATATTGCTCTCCGCGTCTTCCGCCATTTTTTTCTGCCTCAATTCCTGAAGGACGCGTGGCTCTGAGCGTGAGTCATCCACGCGGAACACATTCGCGCTATGTGATTGGCTGTTGTCTAATCCCCCTTGGGATCTGTGGTCTTAAAAATAACTCGAGAAGAATTACCTATGGAATAGGGTGTGTATGGAGGATGCCTTCTCTGTCCCCTCTATCCTCTCTTGTTAACAATTATTCCTCTAGCCCGAATGGGCTCTGAGTCAATAGCCCATGAGGCCGAAGGCCGAATGGGCTATTAACTCAGAGGCCATGAAGGCGAGAGGCATAATTGTTTTCGTAAAATCCAACTGGTTGGTCAAAAATATCGAGACAAAACAACTTAATACAAGACTTTAATCCTTTTTACCGCCAAAAATCCGGCGCCTTTCGCTACTAATGGGCTATAACATATAGCCTAGTAGTAGCTCAACCAATCAGAACGCAGCATTAATAATAGACCACTAGTTGGATTTTACTAATTTGGATTAGTTCGAAAACTTGATAATTTGAACAAATCCATCATCTTTCCAATTCCCCCCAGTTATGCCAGAACAACTCAAACCACTACAATAAGAGCCCCCACCCCCTCCAGCTTGGTTTGAATACCTACCACTTCCTCCCGCAGAGTATCCCCCTCCTCCACCAGAAGCGCCATTATCCTCAGACCCACCTCCCCCTCCACCAAACCCTCCTACTGCCCCAGGGGGTGGCCCTCCATTATAGCCACTATTCATTCCACCGGCTCTTCCCCCTACCCAGCCCTGGGCTCGCGACCCACCTCTTTCACCAATGAGATGTGCCAGCTCTGGCACATCCCTGACTTAACCACCCTGCACCCACTCCCCCATGACAGCTAGCACCCACAGAATTACACTCACCGGGGTTACCTCCAACTCCTCCTCTTAGAACCTTGGAAGAGATTAATCCTACACTACTGGAACCACTAGAACCCTCCTGACCATCTATCCCTTTATATCCCGCAGACGCATCCCCTCCCCCTCCGGCAGCTAACAACAGTGCATTAGCCGATGTGTAAACAAAACTTCCTCCCCCACCCCCTGTCCCAGCATTATCCTCGACAGATAGCCCTAGTTCAGCTGCTGTTCTGTTGGTAGATTGTCCTCCTTCAACCTCTACTGAATTTCCTCCTCTTTGTCCTACTACAATGTTCAACTTAGTTCCTTTATTCAGTCTGAATATCCCCTCCTTGAATGCCCCCCTGCCACCGTAGAAAGTTCCAGGATAACGTCCACAATTAGTGTTATGTGTTCCTCCACTAGCCCCCCACGCTTTTATCAAGTAGCGAGCGGCTCCCGGGACACTGAACTTCAGAATTCTACCGTACTGTCCATTGCGTCCATTTGTCGTAAAGTTAAAAAGATATAGCTCTGAAAAATAATCATTGAACTTTACAGGTATATCCACTAGCCAAAGTCAATGAGGGAATTCAACCACTACATGTATAAAATCCATTCTAGCGGATATATACCGAACAAGAGTGTTATCCACTTCTCTAGCAACTACTGTTGAGGTAAACAACAGTTATTTATTAGCCAAATATTCTTTGTTTTTGAAGGGTGAGAGCAGGGGGGAAGGAGGGCGCAAGGTGACTCTATTGTTTTCCACCTCACTCCGCCTGCCGGTATGACGTCACATAGTAACTGGCAAATTCTCGGGTCGCTTGTCCAAATTTGTAAGGGAGACCACAGTTATTAGGACGAGCGAGGTCGAGGAAAAGCTAAGACGCTAGAAAATATCGCTATATATTGCTAATTTGATCGCAAGTGTGTGAGCTTTGTTGTTGTTTGTTGTTGCTATAATCTGCTTGTGTAAACCGTTTTGATAATTTTTGTCCGTAATTGTATACTTATGTTAAGTTTTTTTTTTTTTTTTTTTTTTGGGCCGTGTTGCGGGATCGCCATCAT